ATTTCATTTGTATGAGAAGTTAGGATGAGGTATTTCATGCTATAATATGAAATGTCGGGATTCTCTGATTTAGCGCTGTTGTGTAACTTCACATCCATGTGGCAGCTCTGTTTACTTAGTCACTTTGTCCTTGGGTCCCCATTTTGACCTGCAGCATTGCAGCAGCAGATCAAGCAAAGCAGAAGTGCTCAAGAATAGGGTATTATGTCATGTTTTTAAACTCCTGACAGAGTATAAGCAAAGAATGTCACAGAAGCACAATAAGAAATGAATTGTTTCATTTGTTTGAAGTGTGGATATTTGACATATGTGTAAGTTTCTTAGCCTGAGGTTATTGATGCCTATAGTTTTGTTGAAGAGATTAAGTGGAGGCAGTCAGTTTGGCCAAAATTTCTTGGCTGCAGAATAAACAACTCAGAAGTGAAATTTCAGAAATTCTTCTCATTACCTAATCATCCCAATGATTACATCCCAATGTTATGAAACAGTATTTTATTTTATTCTTGCTTGAATTTAGCTCTGCAAGCATGAGATATATAAAATACATTATACGTATCTAAAATACATATACATATATATTTTTTAAATCTTTATTTTATGACATGGAATTAGACTATTTTCATTTGCTTTGGACTTGATGTCCAGTATTAAATGTTTTCTGCATTTCTGTCTCTCTTTCAACAAAAATAAAGAAAGAAAAAGAAACTGTGTGTAGTTGTCCAATCAATAAGCAGCTGTCTGTAAAGCTCAGTGTTTTGCTCTGCATACACCCACTTGTCAGCTCAAAGCTACTTCCCAGGGTGAGAACTGACTAGAAGCAGAGAAAAGATGATATAGTAGCTCAAAACAGTTGAAGCATAAGAGATTACAGGGATTTGGGAGCTTAAACAAATATTTACCAGTAAGCCCTTAGCTTAATTTTTGCAGTTAAAATATCTATTCCTTTTCCTCAGCAGAACTATAGACAATTTGACGACTGGAGCTCAGGAAAGGGAAAGAGGATTGGTGGTTAGTGAGGATGTATTGGGATCTGAGGATAACACAAAATGGTATGCAATAAGGGGTGGAGAATGTTGTGGTTTCAGTTGGGATAGAGTTGACTTTTTTACTGGCAGTTGTTATAGTGCTATGTTTTGGATTGTGATGAGAATAGTGTTGGTAGTGCTGGTGATTTTGGTTGTTGCTGAGGAGTCAAGGCTTTCTCTGTTCCTCACACTGCCTCATCAGCGAGAAGGCTGTGTCTGCACAAGAAGCTGGGAAGGGACACAGCCAGGACAGCTGACCAAAGGGATAATCCATGCCAAGTGACATCATATTCAGCATAAAAAGCTAGGCGAAGAAGAAGGAAGAGGGGGACTTTCGGAGTGATGGTGTCATCCCAAGTAACCATTACGTATGATGGAGTCCTGCTTTTCTGGAGAGGGATGAACACCTGCCTGCCCATCAGAAGAAGGGAATGAATTCCTGCTTTTTGCTTTGCTTGGGCGCACAACTTTTGTTTTACGTATTAAACTGTCTTTATCTCAATCCACAAGTTTTCTCACTTCTCTGATTCTTTCCTCAATTGTTCCTCAATGGAACGATTCAACTAATGAAGGTTCTGTTCCTAACCTGAAAGTAGGCCTCATTTTTTCTGGCTTGCAAACCTGACCCAAGATTTGGGCAAACATGAGCTCATTCTAATTCCTCTCCTCCAATCTGAAAACCAATTAAATGCAGAGTTTTCACATATTTTTCAATGAAAAATAAATGTCTTGTGATCACTGTGTCTACACAAACAGAAAAAGAGGAAAATAGTACTTGAACATTCCACCCCGATTGAAAATATTATAACCAGTGAAACTGAAGAAAAATAAAAGTGCATATTTCTAAATGTCTACTATAATTATAATCTTATATAACACTATCATATACGGGAACTGTGACATGAATTCATCAATTCACCTTTTTTACTTAAGACAGCCATTCTTCTGAGATATTCTTGTAAGAATAAGACATGCTTATTCTGCATTGCCTTACATGATATTCACAGGAGAAAAGACAAAGAAATTAGAAGCATAAAAAAGGCAGAGTGAGAAGAGGCAAAAGAGAAGTCTTCAGTCAATTTATATAGAGGTTTGCAGAAAAAAATAAATAAAACAAACCAAAACAAGAAAAACACAGAGTCACAAAAATTCACCAAGTACCCACCCTGTTTAAATTGGCAAAATGCAACTGCTCTCAAAAAGCATTATTTTGTTTTTAAGTGGTGCCAACCTATGATTGCATGCTCAAGCCTGGAGGATCTCCCAGGGTGTACGGTTTGAATAAAAGTTTGGTAGCTATGCTTCTAAATTTACTAGAACTTTAGATAAAATCTCAGTCACCTATACTGCCAATATAGCAGGTCAACCGTGGAGAAGGCTGGGACAAGAACAGCTACAGGACGAAACTAACATCACTTTAAATAATTTTATTTTAATGGACTCTTTAAATGGATCTGCTTTAAAGCCACTCTCCATTAATATGGAGTTTCATAAATGAGCAGCACAAACCCTCAACTAATTTAGACTATAAATCTGATTATTTACAAGATTAGACATGATCATAGTCTTTTTACATATACTTTTACAATTGTTATTTTGCGATGTATTCTTTTTATTAGAAGACATTTCTTTACCAAGAGGGTAGTGAAACACTGGAACAGGCTTCCTAGTGAGGTGGTCGATGCCCCAGGCATGTCAGTGTTTACAAGGCATTTGGACAATGTTCTTAATAACGTGCTTTAACTTTTGGTCAGCTCTGAAGAGGTCCGGCAGATGGACTAGATGTTCATTGTAGGTCCCTTCCAATTGAATTTCTATTCTGTTCTGTTCTTGAACATAGGAAGTTCCACCTAAACATGAGGAGGACCTTCTTTACTTTGAGGGGGGGTGGCAGAGCACTGAAATAGGCTGCCCAGGGAGGTTGTGGAGTCTCCTTCTCTGGAGGCATTCAAAACCTGTCTGGACAAATTCCTGTGCAACTTGCTCTAGATGGACCTGCTTGGGCAGAGGGGTTGGACTAGATGATGTCCAGAGGTCCCTTCCAACCCCATATGATTTTATGATTCTATTCTATTCTATTCTATTCTATTCTATTCTATTCTAATTATTTATAAGATGTAGGAGTTCTTTTCCTTTTCTTGTTCAAGACCACATCACCTGAAGAAGGCCCGGTCAGCCTCCTAAAAAGCTTGCTTTCTGCCTTTGTTATGTTTTCATGTTGCCATTATGTATGTAGCCTGCTGCCTTTCTTGATTTTGTCCCTCTCGATGCCAGAGTTTACTAAGCATCAGCAAGGCCATATTTATTTCTTGAGAATCTAGGTCAACATCAGTGAGTTCACATGGAAGACAGCTGAGAGCCTGAAAAAATTAACTGTTGGTTAATTATTCTTACTAGGGCTATTTTCTCATCAAAAAGGGGTTACAACTTGTTTTACCAAATACTGTTTTTGAAAACCCAGCAAGATAGATCAGTAAGTTTAATAGTTCTAGAAAACTATCAAGGATGGCTCAGACTCTTTTGCAAGACCTACAGGGGAAGAAATGTTTTCTGTGAGTGAACCCCGTGCAGTTCTGAGGCCAGGGCTGAGCTTTGAAGGTTAAGCAGAGTCAGTTGCTGTAGGAGTAGTAGACCTTTGAGCAATAGTTTTGAGAATGCTGAAAGTCACTCCCACTAGCCACCTGTAGCCATCCTGAGATCAGTTTATCCTTATTTATGATATTTTTCAGATAAATTAACTTCTTCCATGTTCAAAGGTGACTAGAAGCTGCCTAGTACTACACAGAGCTCTTGCTGTGAAGAGGGGTATGCCAGCTTGGATTTGGGAATTCACTAAACTTCCCACTAATCTGGGAGCCTGGGCAGAGGGGACCTGGATCTGCATGTGAACACCTTGGTAGCCATTTTCCCTGCTGGGACACATTGCGTGAGGACACTCCCTTCCGTATCATCTTTACATGGTGACAGATGGGCAAAGTGATCACCAAGTGAATTATTTGAGTGGCATTAAAAAAGAATTATACCTGGATTTAGAAGAGTGAATAACTGAACATAAAGGTTATCTGTCCTTTTTCTTACAACCAATTATTGCTTACTTGAGAAAGCACTTGGAGCTTGCATAGCCTGTTCTTCTGCAGATTGGACACGGTCAGCTCCTCTGGCCTACAAATGTCCCTGATGAGGCAAAAGCTGAGCCACAGGTTACCTGCCCTAATGGCAAGTTCCCACAAAGGTCTCGAAGGAACAAAGACATTTTGTCCGTGAAGTAGACTTGTCGGAACCGAGGATATCCAGCATGTAAGCTGCCTGTCACTTTCTGTATCCACTGTAAGTTTTGAGTAAGGAAAAACAGGGTTAATTTTTCTTTTTACAAGAGACAATATCTTTTTTTTTTTTCCCCTAAATGACATTTCCCCTAAGTGACATTTCAAAAAGTAAAGAGTGTACAACATTGTTATTTATTCCTATAACACTACTAAGGAAACATTGATTTATTATAAGGATATTAAAGAGCTATTCGTGGCAACACTACAGTTAGCAAAACACATTTCCATCTAGAGTTCCTGTACTGTATAAACTTCCAAATTCTGTATGTGCCAATATCCATGGAAATTAATTAGCCACACTGAGAACTATAAAGATTAGTATGTACAGAAAAATAAGAGAGTGATAAATAGTCAGTAAAAGGCAAAACTACTGGAAGTGACTTAATGGCAAAAGGGAAAAGACACGGCCAACTAGATCAGTAATATATAAAAACCCTCAGAGTTATAGACTATTTTAGATTGAAAAAGGTCTCTCGAGTTTATCTAGTTGAACTCTGTTACTCACAACGGGCCCAGCTTGGATCCCTTTGCTCAGGCCCATGCCCAGATGAGTTCTGTATATTCAAAGTTGGAGATTTCAGTCTTTCTCTTAGCATAGTCTAAGTACAATTAGCTGCACAGATGAACACAAGACACCACATAATTTTTCTTTATTTTATTAAAACCCATTGCAAGATCAAAGATTTCACGAAAAATAGAAACTTACAAATTGTGTGAATAGTTTTAATGCACTCATAAAAAGACATTAAATGAAAAATGACTAAATTCTATACTATATCTGCAATATATTCCATTGGCTTTATTCTGAAAATATTGTTGCCATTTTGGAGTAAATAAAAAGCCTAGCATTACACATGTTCACAAGTATTTACCACTTATTTAAAGCAAAAACTTTACCATATATTTTTTCCAGAGAAATTAGTTCATCCCCATTTTGAAAAGTCTAATAAGAAAACATTCAACACCCTCACTGGAATTACTGAGAGCTGATGTTTCTGTTGTAAAAAAATTATGCTATGGAAATCAACAAACAGTTTTACAGAGAGTTATACAGCCATACTAAACAAGCTTATAGGTTATACTGCATTAGACCTTCTGTATTAGCAAAACATGTGGACAATAATGGCAACTCTTCAGCTTAAGCATTTTATACTTTGGATTAAAATGCTGTAACCTTTGAAAAACAAATATCCAGTGTTACACACCTGAAAACATTCTTAACCAAATGGTAATACTATAAAGGCTAATGCAACTTCAAATTGAAGCTGCATTGTCTGTATTTTAACTATCCCCATGTCAAATTTAACTCCTTAGAATGCAATGTGACACACAGAAAATTAATTGTTTTATGTATTTACTCTGGGTACTTTCTTGCATACACTGTATGATGAAGCATCTGATCCTACAAAATGATACCCACGATAGGACTCATGTTTAGATGGTCTTCTCAAGGTAAGCACTCTTTGCATTTTAAGATCTGTTGTAAATTAACAACCACAACAGGAAATGAAAAGAATCCTGTTATTGGCTTATACCCATTCATCTGAATTTCCCAATTCAGCAACATAACAATAAAATCAGAGAAGATAAGTTCACTTTAAAAAAAGTAATTTTTTTCAATCAGTTATTTAAACATTGTCTTTTAACTTATTTCTGATACTTGGTGTATTCAATTACTGTTTGACTGTATGAAGTGGGAGCTGGTTATCAGTGTTAGGTTAAGCACTGCTAACTGACTTACAAAAATGGCAAGGTGGAAAGATTTGGAAATCTCTACAGCGTCTCCTATTTTAAACAAAACAAAAGGAAAGAAAATATCAATTCTGTTGAGTGAGAGAAAGAAAAGAATTAAGATTGTCCATTAAATATCAATTCTGTCATTATCATTATTTACTAAGATTTCTGTCCAAAATAATGATTTGTATAATTATAAAAATGTTTATTAAAGATCTCAATTCTTCATAGATTTTCTTATTACTGTGCATCTAAAAGCTCCTGGGGTAGCTTTAGTAAATAATAAGCATCAAGTTATCTCCCAGTTTCAACATAGGCCCCTGTTGATCACCTGCACTGGTGCTAGCACTGAGTTATTACCATTACAAATCAAAGGAAACACACACGACCAAGGCAAAATAAAGTAAACAAAGGAAAACAAGCTTAACATCTTCTATAACTCAAACTATAACGAGAACTAGTAGCAATCCACTTCAAGAAATCTGCCAAAGGCTTTTATATTTTTTTTATGCAAACAAAAATACGATGCATTTCTAAAGTTTGCTTCAGTATTAGTACTTAGTTGTACAGTACATTAAAGTCAGTGTACAGCTTTTGCCATTTTACTGTAACCTCTGTAAACTCACAATTATATTGCATCATATGAAAGGTTGTGAACCCTCTGCAATCCCCATTATATCTACTGAATGCAGCAGAGTGGAACTGTTGTGTTGGTACAGGTGTTTAAGAGGCAGTAGACATATTGGGTGTCCAGCCCATTTGATAAGCTCGTTCCAATGTCCTCTTGCAATCTTGTAGTACAGTACTGAAGGTTATATGTGGGTACTGCTGCACTAGCTGCTCCACTGTGGCTTCATTCACCTGCAATTGAAAAAAAGAATCTGTGATGAGCAGCAAGTGAATAAAGAGGGCAACGCTATGCAAGCTAAATGAATGATCGAACCTTACAAGTCCTGGGAGGACTTGCAGGACTGGGCTCTTCACTGATATTGTAGTTTTGTGTGCATTTATCACAAAAGAAATATACAGAATTTAAATGCTCTGGTAGAAGACAAAAACCCCTACACCTCGGATTCTATTGTAAAGGGAGAAGTTTTATATAGCATTCTAGTAAATACTGTTTGGTTATTTGTGATTGAGAGCAAACAGGAAAGGCAAATAGTCTTCCTTTGAAAACAGCTTTGTTTAGAAAACTACAACAATGTTTAACTATCTATTAAACTATTTTCATTCCATGCTTGACTATGCCGACCACTCACAGAGTCCCAAACCTCATTACTCAAAGAAAAGCCATCCTGTTTAACAAAGTGCTGTCCAGAGTAACAGATTTCTATCTCGAAATAGAAGTATGTTTATTCAAACTCATTCAAGCAGACATAGGTTTGAAATGTAAGAATTTCTTGGCTTTGGTAAATGAAAATCGATTACATCTATTAATTAATTTATGGCACAGTTATGATACTTTTACACATATGAAGTAGTAACTCCACAATTAAACTTAACAAAAATGAATTTGCACTGTGTGGTAGCTATCAATGTGGTTGCAGTGAAAAATAACAGAAAACATGACTAAATATGGGAAAAGAATGCAAACTATTCTAGATCACAGGTAGATCAATTTACTGACTTACCAACTACCAATATAGGTCAACTTTTCCAAAGGTTAAAAGTCCTGCATGTCTTCACATACATGCAGGGTAGAAGTCTTTATTTTAGCCTTTTGGTGTGAGGCTAACGCTGCACAAAGAGTTTTGTGGGCAGAAATGGTGGGATCAATAATTAAAACATACAAGCTTGTCAGGTCTGGGATGTACCTCCTAAATCTTAGACATCAAAGGTAACACCTTTATTCTTGATTAGACAGGCCAATCAGCTTGTACAGCTAAACCTAACACCTTTACAATTGCAGTGCTGTGAGGGGATTAATTTGTCAATTATTTTCAAGCCGATTGCAGTTCATATCACAGAAGTAGACAGCTTTCTTCAGCCTTTAGATAAATAAAAGATTAACCTAAGAACCATAACTTCTAGGTAGCTCTCTTTGAAATCTTTGCTGAACACTTGGGCATTTGAAAATGCATCGATATTACATTTAAATACTGAACCACTTAGATCAGTAGGATGTACAGCTCATTTCATCAGTTGCTTTTTTCCCTGATGATGTTCCACATTCAAGGCCAAAAGTAAAAAACTAGACTCAAATGTTTACTACCATTACAAAGATTCATCTTAGGAATAATATTTTAAAGGACAGTGACCACAGTATCTAATAATATTTTTGTCCTTAAAAGATAACAAGGAGTGCATCCTTCTGAACAGTGATTGCACTCAATGACAAGGATAAATGAAAGCTTTAATATCCAGTTCTTCTACTTTGATAATAGAAACACTCAATCTTCATTGGAAGTTTCATCTAGCTGAGACTGATTTGGATAGAAAACTGGTTTAACTACCCTTCATAGCACAAACTGTACTCTTTTGGCAAATTACTACTTTACAGTAACATCTTCCAGTGCTGAAAAACAAGAAGTGACTTTTAATAAATCAAAATGAAATCAGGGATAGCACAAGTCCTCCAAAATATTTGATATTTATAGCTGAATACATACTTTCAAACTGTCAGCAACACTTCATAGAAATACTGCTTGGAAGGGAAGAATCCCCTAAAGTAGCAGTATTTGCTACTTCTTGCCTATTAAAAAAAAAGCCAAAAGCCTCTTTTCTTTAAATTTGTGGTGCAGAGAGCCACAGCAGAATCTATCATACTACCAGAAACTTCTCTTGATGGTTAACTCAGCCACAGCGAAGATGCTTACCCCACACAGCTGCTCATTCTGTGCTTTCTTAATGAGAAACTTAAAGAAGAGTTGTTGTTTATCTACTCTATATATATCTGCAAATATTACTAGCAGATAGAGGTTATTAGTATTTGACACGTACCTGTTGGGCTTTATTTGTTAGAATAGTATGGATATTATGGCTTTAGAGAAAATATCATCAACAGATTTTCTGTTACAGGAAACAAGTAATAAGGCAAATTTGTTACAAAGATGATGTTCAAACACAGGAGGATAGGCAATGATATCCATGTCCTGGTGTCTTTGACTCAAGACATTTGCAGAAGCTACAGTCTAGCTAGATATAAGCTGAAGTATTTACTACCAGGCTAACTTAAGTGAAATAGCATGACCAATGATACTCAGGAAGTCCGATAATGTTACAATAGTATCTTATACTCTTAAAACCTATGAAGAAATATATGGTAAACCAACTAGCACTAACCATTTGTCCTAAGTTTTTCCGATACATCTATTAGTGGATAAAATAATATTTAACACAATTGTTACTAATTAGTATTGCTACTTTACTAAAGAGGAGAAGGAAACTTTTGGTACTGAGTGCCAAATACAGTTACAAAATAAACATGAGCATGCAGAAGGCAGTTAAAACCATTGCAGAAGAGACATTGACAAAATCAGCGATTTTATGACCAATACCTGACTAGAAGAAGGTTTTCTGCCTTTTTCCTAGAGTGTTAAATGAACATTTAGAAAAATTATTACTTTGATCCTAGGCAACAACTTCAGTGGTATTAAACAGCGAAGTAACAACAAATCCTACATATACATGAAAGAACTTAGAGTTTAAAAAATTGATTTTACTCTCATGACACAGGAAAAAATTATTCTACCAAGCTCCATGACATATGATCAAATATATGTAACTTTTAGTTAGGTATAAATATTTTAATCCTAAGAAAGTAACAGCAAATAGTTAAAAATTTTGCTGGACAACATAAATTCAATGTAAGATTACGTAACAGAAGAGGGAGAAAAACGATCCTATTTGGCAGTGGGACAACCTGCATGGATCCCAGGATGAGAAACAAATGTGGACAGTTAAGCCACAAATGATCCCCCATCACAAGATTTTGAAAGCTTTTCTTTTACCACAAGAATAGTCAGGTGAAAGACGAAAACAGCATAAATTTTTTAGTATGTTAAACTTTCTATACTATTGGACTAAAATTGCACTATCGAAAAGATAGGAGAACAGAGAGATTAAAATTTTGTTCTTTGTTAATGAATGAGATAAATAATATCTAAATTAACTTCCCTAGTATCCTCGTCTTCTGTTCCCCTAATGGTAGGATTAAGATGAAAAGAAGTCTTATGTCTAACCATTAGAACACAGGCTTCTGTCTCTGTTAAGATGCAGTCTGGCTGGTGATAAAACAAAAGTACTGAATGCCATTCCCAAAATAAATTCATAACACAAACAGAGCAATTTTCCCTTCTGAGCTTGAAGAGTCATGTTCAATGAATGAAAACTAAAAATCTTTGCATCTTAACATCCTTTAAAATGTTATATTTTTCTTCCACAGAACTTTCATTAATCTTCATCTTTTCAGTTGTCAAACAGAAGACTACTGTCTGAAGACAAACTAGTTAGATTATCTAATACATAAGCATTCATTTGAATTTGCATAGCCCTTCAATTATGTTTTAGCACATCATGAGAGAAAGCAGTCCTTATCATCAAAAGTCAAAGTAACAGGTTCATGTGAATCATGGTCATCAAACAGAAGAAAGAAAACATCAGCAAAGATTGGTTTGAAATCTATTTTTTTTTTGCAAAATAATGATTTATTCCAGCCCAAAAAATAGATTAAAAAAAAAAAGAGAGAAGATGGGTTACAGAAAATGGCAGGACCAAGTGATTTCATCTCCTTTTAACTCAACTAGAGCAGTTACCTAGAAGTCACAATTTTGAATTCTTTTTGCTTAAAGACAGCTGAACACGTATCATCTATTTCCTAGGTACACTTGACTTTGTGACAAATATTATCTGGGGTGGGACCTCCTTAATTTCCTCTGATGATGATAGTGTGATTGTGCAGAGAGTGTTTAAATATTATCTGCACCACACAAAAAGAATACTTCCTTTTGTGATAATCAGGAATTTGTCTGGGAAAGAAGATGAACACCCATCTAGTCCACGTGAAGCTGAAGAACATTTACAAATCTAAAAGGTTTCCTATATAAGGAAAAGCTTCAGAGTAACATCCAAATCACTTGATAATTGAAAATAACAAGTTATCTCCATTCCAAGTTAATAACTGAAATCAATAAGCCATATAATAAAAAAATCAGACCCCCAAACCTAGGCTCACATGCAAAAAACCAAGACTTGCAAAACTGGATTAGTGCAAAGTTGCGGTATGAGAACTTCTTAGGAAAACTTGCCGATGTTCCTCAATGGTTCATAGCATCATACTGGGATGGACTGCTGAAATAATTTTTGCATATTATCTAACCTAGTCCTTGGAACAGCTGGTTTTGGAGAGTGCTGACGTCATGCACTCTCCTTCAAGGACAATACAGGTATGTATCTTCAGTTATATAACTTTATAGGCCAGTCATTAATAAAAATTAACAAACCAAGTCATGATGTGGTTAGCCTGCGATATCCGTGAAGAAAGGCATTAATCATATATAGAACTGATTAAATCTAGCAGTTCTTAATTCTTAATGCTAGCTTAATTTCAGAAATCTAATACTTGTAAAGAATTTCAGGGAAATGTTAGCAGGTGAGAAGTAATATTCCCGCAGAAAGATTTTAAGGGCTGCCACACATATGATGCTTAATAATAGCAGGTCAACAGGGTGCAAATATTACATTTGTACATATAAAGAGTCACAAAACCAACCTTACAAAAAAGAAATGCAAATTGCTTTTTTCCAAAAGGGGTTTCTTCTCATGTTACTGAAATTTATGCTTATGTAGTGGTATTGCACCATTAGGGGTACTAAAATTTGTGTGCATTTCTGTCTCAATATACACAGAGTAGTATTACCTGA